TGTAGAATGAAACAGATGGAGGGAATAGGGGTGGAATGAGACAGATGGAGAGACTGGGCCGGAAGTGGGACAAATGGAGGGGTACAATAAGATACATGAAGGGGATAAGGGGGAATGAGACATATTGAAGAGCTGGGGGGTAGAATGAAACACATGGATGGACTGGGGATAGAATTAGATACATGGGGGTGGGCGTTGGATTGAGACATAGGTAAGCGTCTCCACACTCTGCATGGAGGTGCTAAATGCTCCCAATAGAGATGCATTGGTTTAATGCATCTTTATGAAGAGATGCTGATTGATGCAGAGCAGCGTTTTGCCACACATGAACAATAGTCTCTCAATGCTATCCTGTGGGAAAGCATTGGATTGGCTGAGATCATTAAGTTTGATGTTTTCGACCAAAGTGAAGAGCACACTCATAGGACTTCAAAATAAACAAGGTAATGTCACTTTTTACAGTTGTGTCAAAGCATGCATTCACCATTTAATTACAAAACTTTTCTTACTATGTCAAGGTAGTTAAACTGATACATTGATTATATGCTAATGCTTAAAATAAATCCGCTCCTCAGCTTATTTTGATGCCCTATGACTGCTTTCATTTATGCTGTAGTTATGGTTTTTAGTTGTCTATTTTAAAGGAACACTATAGTCACCTAAATTACTTTAGCTAAATAAAGCAGTTTTAGTGTATAGATCATTCCCCTGCAATTTCACTGCTCAATTCACTGTCATTTAGGAGTTAAATCACTTTGTTTCTGTTTATGCAGCCCTAGCCACACCTCCCCTGGCTATGATTGACAGAGCCTGCATGAAAAAAAAACTGGTCTCACTTTCAAACAGATGTAATTTACCTTAAATAATTGTATCTCAATCTCTAAATTGAACTTTAATCACATACAGGAGGCTCTTGCAGGGTCTAGCAAGCTATTAACATAGCAGGGGATAAGAAAATCTTAATTAAACAGAACTTGCAATAAAGAAAGCCTAAATAGGGCTCTCTTTACAGGAAGTGTTTATGGAAGGCTGTGCAAGTCACATGCAGGGAGGTGTGACTAGGGTTCATAAATAAAGGGATTTAACTCCTAAATGGCAGAGGCTTGACCAGTGAGGCTGCAGGGGCATGTTCTATACACCAAAAATGCTTCATTAAGCTAAAGTTGTTCAGGTGACCCTTTAAGTTATCTTTTCTGCCTCTATATCTGCATATCATGCTGGGGCGACGCATTATTGGGCTGGAATTTTGTTTTAGGGCTACTTTCTGTTCCCAGTCCAGCCCTGCCATAGCATGAAAAAGGACTCTTGTTGTGTGAAAGTACAATAAATGGGGCTTAAAGTTTATAATAAGGATAATAATAACATTTATAATAAGGAGGGCTTGAGTGAAGTTTCCCAGGTATTTTTGTAACTGGGGGTCTGTTTGTAGCCTTTTAAGTACAGACATACTAATGGCATGTGCTAGTTCCTATTACATATGTACAAACATTTTCAGACTTAGAGCCACTAGAAGGTCTTCCTCAGTGAAGAAATTTGATTTTCAAGGTTGTTGATGTTTGACACCATCACACACAGCATGTTGACGTCAAATGCATCCAATATTACCCACAGAGAAACGCTTGATTCAAAGCTCTTCTATATGAAGCATCTAACTGGAAGAGTGTGATGATTCCTTATGAGAAGAACTAACAAACGTCTACATAACTGTTATTTGCCAATGACAGAACAGCTGCAGAGAGAAAACTGTTTCTAGTGATCTTTTTTACATATTTAGTTTTTTTTAAACAAAATATCCTAAACACATTCCGAAACATTCAAATGTTAAAAATGAGCATGTTTATTTTTCTTGTTAGTTTTCCCTTAAGCCAAATGTCACTGTGAAAACAAACATTTTTATCAATGTTTTTGCTTGTAGTTTGTACAGTAACATATGTAGAACCATGTCAAATGCTTTAGTAAAAGTCAAGTAGATCACATAAGCTGCAACAATTTGACCTGTACTAGTACAGAGTTCTTCACAGAATGCAATTACTATTTGTTTGACTTGATATGTCCTCCATAAACCATGATTATTCCTACTAATGACTGTATTGCTAAAATGAATTCATGACTATGATTCACGAATTACACTTAATTTAACCACAGATGGTACATTCGCAGGTTTCCAATTTCAGGGCAGAGCTTTTGATTCCTTTTGAATATGGTCACCACATTTGCATTACGCCAATCCTTTGATATGATTTTTTAAAGCCCAACATGTTTACTGATCTACTAATTAACAAACATCCTTTGCATCTCACAACAAACACATCTAAAACAGTGGTGATCTACAAATATGCAGGTTTATGTTCCCAAAAAAGAGAGTTTTGGTAAGTTGACAAATGATTTCCTTAATTTAATACCAACTGAAAGAGCAAGGGGATAAAATCAACAAAACTCAATTTTGGCTTATTTTGGCTAACTTGCTTTTAGAATCTGACCATCGCCAGACTAAGCAGCTGGAAATTTTGAGCATAGACCCGGGCCCAGTTCCAACTATTTATAAATATATTGTACATGGCTGTGGTGGTGCTTCCACTTCATTCCTCACTCATTCTGTGTGGAGGAATTGTCCAGAAGTATATCACTCACGATCGTCACTAACACGGACATGCATTGTCAATTAATGATGGCATTATGTCAAATATATACACAGTTTAAATGTATTAGCCTGCCATCTTATTTAGAAATATGTCATTATTTGCAGGTCATAATATAATCCTATCAAAGTTAATAAAAAAAAAATGACAATGAATATGAGGATTTACATTCCCTGTATTATAGCTCCAAGGTGATATTATTCCTCCAATGTCCCATTGCTTTGAAAAATAGTTGACTTTTTCCTTATGAAACTGTCCCCCCATCTTCCAGTAAGTTGGCTCCAAGATGTTATCAGGTTAAATCTTCGTGAACAGACCCTACTGTTTACTGAATACAGTTGGGTGCTAAGATATTTTATTAGAAATCACCTTATTGTGATTTATGCCGAACCTTGAGATTTAAATGTTCCTTTAGAGGTTTGGTGCACTGTCAAATGGGCCTATTGTAAGACTGCTTAAATTCCCTAAGTGATTCCAAGTGTATCCATTAAGTAAAGTAATTATAACTTCTTGAATTTCACCTCACAGTTATGACAGCTCTCACTCTGGCTAGTACTGGAATCAGAGAGTAAACCCTATAGGGTTTGTAGATAAAATACATCATATGTTGCAGGCTCTGATAGAAAGAAATGAGAACAAATGTGCAGAAATGTAATTTTAGTATCATAAAAAATAATCTTAAATTTTCCAACAATCTGAGAAAGTGAGAAAGCATAAAGTGAAAATTGTAACATCCAAAAAAAAACATTTTTTTTTAAATTGTTATTAAGCATTTTCATGTGATACAGACAATTATGTAATCAACGTACCAAAAAAAAATATTTTTATGTGCATAATTATATAGTCTCATTGTACATTTTGTGTTTTTCAGCATGTCTGCCCATACCCCTCAAAAAAAACTACTTTTATTTCCCCCCTTTAATTTTTCCTAATTTGTTACATTTCTGCCTGTCATTGGCTTAAAAACAACAGCAAAAAAATGATTACACCTTTAAAGTAGAACTTTGATTAATTATAAATAATTTACCCATTGTACAGCACTATGGAATTTGCTGGCGCTATATCAATAATAAAATTATAATTTCCAGGTATTGCTTGTAAGTGGAGATTTATATTTTTTCTTTTTTTTCTTCTTTTTTTTTTTAGAAAAGTCACATTTTAAAAGTCACTGTTACCTAACATTTGCTAGTGTATGCAAAACCATAGTTTACTTAGACAGGATAGTGATTTATAAAAAAAGTGTTTAATTCATTGTGTCCTATCTTTGGATAGAATCTTGTAAAGATGAATACAATATTACATTTAAAGAAAGGTAGATGTATAATCTTTGATTTGATTTATATGCCAGCAAGTATCTCCATCTGATTGCTTATAATATTGCTCAGGATTCTGGGCTAAAAACCAAGAATGAATCAAGTTTTAAGGACAGTAATGTATTTGACACAGTGTAATCAATACACACAAAGCAAGACGATGAATTGCCCAAGCTAATGAAAAATGTAGCTGCACTCTAAAAAGGAAAAATATCTGCTAAGAATAGTGTAGACAGACATACCAAGAAAAAGACAAGGTAAAACAAAGATATACAAGAAAACAATATATTCAGACAGTCATACATTAATAATAGATTATTCAGTAGACTCTTGTAGGCAAAGTTTAACTGATTATTCACCAACTTTAATGTCCTTTGAAATTTGTTTACAAAAAAATACGAATTGGTCCAAGTAAGATCCAAAATGGAACCCATTTAAAGTAATCCAAAATGGCTCTAAAGTAGCAAGACATGAGGAACATTTTCTTTGAATTGCAGTCCTGGGCAATTTCTGGTCCTGAGTCTTGAATTAAAGAAATAAATACTTTAACCAGCACACAATCAACTACATAGCTAACCCACACCAGTGCTCTTTGCCTATAATTTCAATCCAGTTCAGGTGGAATTGATATTGATAATAGGGAAGTGTAAATTCCACATCATCATGTCACCAGAAGGTGGAGCTCCTCTTAAAGAGTTTGACAAAATAAATGGGGAATGGAACCAAAAGGTCACTGAATTGTACTGGTTATGCTGCTTAGATGGCCCCTTTAAACTCAAATTGCATTTACAAGATAAAACTTAGAGAAAAAACAAAAGTCATAAAAAGACAACGTAAATAAGGGCAGAGCAACAACAATTTAGAGGAGATCGAACATGAGCTGCTCCATGTCTCATAGGGTTATAAAACACAAAACAATATTTACCACTTCTTGACATTAGAGACATTATCAAGGTCACACTCCAATGCTAAACGAACCCAAACGTTGATTCCTGAGGACAATATATCATGCCAAACAAAACTCTCATTTACAGAGCCTCACGCTAAAATGGCAGAGCAGACTGATGCTGCCAGTGGTTCTTTGAGACCCTCTACACCAGGTCTCCCCACTGCTGCTGACCTTGTATCCCTGGCAGAGATTCACTCTCTGCTACAGGAGTTCCACCACGATATTAAGAAGAGCACCAAAGGCCTGAACCACTCCTTGATAAAAGAGATGCTTGAACTGAGTGCCAGGACAAACTGCATGGTGGGTCAATTGCATAAAATCATGGCTCACCACAACAATTTAGCTGACCAGCATCAAGAACTGTTGAGTGGATTCAAAAGGCTCAAACTAAAGCTTACAGACCTAGAAGACAGGTCCCTCCACAATGTTCTTTGGATTAGGGGCATATTGGAGGATTCCACCTACCGCTTATCCAAATCCTCTAAACAACCCAAAGTTACCCCCTGTGATCACAAGGGAGCATGTCTATAAGGCAAAGGATACCATAGTTAGGAAGGTTATGCACCCAGGAAATACCATACAAGTGGGGCTATCCTGTCAAATTAATTATTTCCCGAAATGACATTGCCTCAATAGCCAACACGCCTCAGGACGGATAACTGTAAAATAAGGCTCACTTACTCACCTATGGGCCTAGACTGCATCATTTGAAAAAACCCTACTGCCCTAAAGTGAACAGACCATACGGTCCTAAAGATGTCATGTGCATTGTGTACAGTGAGGGGAAAAAGTGTTTGATCCCCTGCTGAATTTTGAACGTTTTCCCACTGACAAAGAGATGATCAGTCTATCATTTTAATGGTAGGTGTATTTTAACAGTGAGAGACAGAATAACAAAAACAAAATCCAGAAAAACGCATGTAAAAAAAGTTATAAGTTGATTTGCATGTCAATGAGTGAAATAAGTATTTGACCCTTTCGACTGGTGGCAAAACCCTTGTTTGCAATCACAGAGGTCAGATGTTTCTTGTAGTTGGCCACCAGGTTTGCACACATCTCAGGAGGGATTTTTTCCCACTCCTCTTTGCAGATCCTCGCCAAGTCATTAAAGTTTGAGGCTGATGTTTGGCAACTCGAACCTTCAGCTCCCTCCACAGATTTTCTGTGGGATTAAGGTCTGGAAACTGGCCAGGACCTTAATGTGCTTCTTCTTGAGCCACTCCTTTGTTGCCTTGACTGTGCGTTTTGGGTCATAGTCATGCTGGAATACCTATCCACAACCCATTTTCAATGCCCTGGCTGAAGGAAGGAGGTTCTCACCCAAGATTTGATGGTACATGGCTCCGTCCATCGTCCCTTTGATGCGGTGCGGTTTTCCTGTCTCCTAAGCAGAAACACACCCCCAAAGCATAATGTTTCCACAACCATGTTTGACGGTGGGGATGGTGTTCTTGGGGTCGTAGGCAGCATTCCTCCTCCTCCAAACACGGTGAGTTGAGTTGATGCCAAAGAGTTTAATTTTGGTCTCATCTGACCACAACACTTTCACCCAGTTCTCAGATGAATTATTCAGATGTTCATTGGCAAACTTCAGACGGGCCTGTACATGTGCTTTCTTGAGCAGGGGGACTGTGCGAGCACTGCAGGATTTCAGTCCCTCACAGCGTAGTGTGATACCAATTGTCTTCTTGGTGACTATGGTCCCAGCTGCCTTGAGAGCATTAACAAGATCCTCCCGTGTAGTTCTGGGCTGATTCGTCACCACTCTCATGATCATTGAAACTCCACGAGGTGAGATTTTGCATGGAGCACCAAACCGAGGAAGACTGACAGTTATTTTGTGTTTCTTCCATTTGCGAATAATTGCACCAACTATTGTCACCGTCTCACCAAGCTGCTTGGCGATGGTCTTGTAGCCCATCCTAGCCTTGTATAGGTCTACAATCTTGCCCCTGACATCCTTGGACCACTCTTTGGTCTTAGCCATGGTAGAATCTGATTGATTGATTGATTGATTGATTTATTGATTGCTTCTATGGTCAGATTTCTTTTATACAGGTAATGAGCTGAGATTAGGAGCACTCCCTTTAAGAGAGTGCTCCTAATCTCAGGTCGTTACCTGTATATAAGACACCTGAGAGACAGAAATCTTGCTGATTGATAGGGGATCAAATACTTATTTCATTCATTGCAAATCAATTTATAACTTTTTTAGCATGCCTTTTTCTAAATTCTATTTTGTTATTTAGTCTATCACTGTTAAAATACACCTACCATTAAAATTCTAAACTGATCATTTCTTTGCCAGTGGACAAACGTTAAAAATCAGCAGGGGATCCAATATTTTTATCCCTTACTCTAGTTGGACTGCCCAGTTAATATTCCAAAGATTGTCAACTATCATACACATGGGTAAGACAATAGTTTGATGAAACTGTCATGTTCATGTTTATGTTGGAAAATATATTGGTACCAATCACTCAAGAAGTTGTAAAATGGGAGAAAAAGAAAAAAAATATTTAAAACTATCTAAATATTTAGCCAGTAAATTTGGATGATAGCTGTTTGTCATGATTCTTTTATATAAAACCCTGAGACACTTATGGTTAATCTTTATCAGATGTTAAATTCCACAGTACTTGGAGCTTATTCCTCCCATCTCTACTTCCTGGTAGAACAATTGCTGGCTCTCTTGGCCTCTAGTGATCCACAACCAGTTCTTTGATCATTTGTGTTTTCATCTTGTACATAGTTATGCTATTTTTTATTTTTATATTCATCCTGAAATACCTCATTGGGCCATTCTTAATCTGTTTAAAACCTTGAGTAGAAAACTTAGCAATTGAAGGGTAAAGGTATTCATTAGCGTATCTTATGTTTTCCATATGTGGCTACAGCAGTAGATATTTAAATACCCCACTGAAAAGACACCAGTTTTTTAGGGAAGCCAACAAGAGCACAAATGAGATGCATGCTGGAGACACACATAGCCAAACCTAAACACCTCATGCCTCAAACTTCAGCATACCCTATTGGTTATCACACTGTGTCCCCTAACAAAACAGGGTGCGTCTCCATCTAAATCCATAAGAGTTTAGTCTTCCAATTTCCATGAAATGCTCTGATGGGAGGGGCAGGTTCCTACTTCTTTCCTGTTTAATTAACAATGTAGCTTACACCCTTGTGAATGTTTATGCCCCAAATAAGGGACAAGTTCCCTTTTTACATACCATTTTCCATTAAATACTTAACCAAGACCAGAATAAACTGGTAAAATGTGGTGATTTTATTGTCCCAGTGGATCCTTTAATGGACAATTCAGCTTCCTATAAGCATACTTATCGCAATAGACTATATGCCCAAGTTACACAACTCATACATTTATGGCACTTCTATGGGGTGTTGGATGCAAAACAGCTCAGCCCTAGAAATTAAACCTTCTATTCATCCAGGTATTGCAGCTAATTGAGGATTGTTTACTTTGTGGTACATAAAAATACCTTGCAACAAGTTCCCAAATGTTCTATCGGCCATCTTGGTCAGACCATGACCCAGTCACGCTAAAGCTAGATGATAAATATTATTTCAAATGTAAAGGGGGCTGGAGTTTAAACCAATTCCATTTTGGGAATGAAGTTACATAGTTACAGAGACTTGCGTCCATCAAGTTCAGCCTACCTCACATTTGTTTTTTGCTGTTGATCCAAAAGAAGGCAAAAAAAAAAAAAAAACGGTTTGAAGCACAATTTTGCAACAAGCTAGGAAAAAAATTCCTTCTTGACCCCAGAATGGCAGTCAGATTTATCCTTGGATCAAGCAGTTATTCCTTGAATATTCTGTTTTTGCAAGTATGCATCTAGTAGCTGTTTGAACATCTGTATGGACTCTGATAAAACCACTTCTTCAGACAGAGTGTCAGGGATCCGCGGGCGGCTAGGAGGGAAGGCTGCACGCCACTCTCAGCACTCACCCTCAGTCCATCGCCGCCCGCGGTCTCCCCTCCTCTTACCTGTCGGCGAGCGGCGTCTCCTCTCTGCCGCTCGCGTCCTCCACGCCCCCCAGCAGCAGCATGTATAACGCTGCACGCTGGGAGGTCACTGAATTATGCAAACGCCGGGGTCACGTGAGTGACTCAGCGTTAAAGAAACAGTACCACAATCACAGTGGGAGGTATAGATATCCCCCACGTGTGATTGTTAATTCTGATTGGAAGTTATCCAATCAGAATTAAACCAAGGGTATTTATACTTACCTTTCCTGTCCCTCAGTGCCCTGTTGTGGTCTTGTGATACCTGTAGTGCTGTTCTCTCGTGTTGCTCTCTGGTTTCCGATTATTTGGCTCATTATTCCGATTATCCTGTCTTCTCCACTCCTTTGACCTCGGCTTGTTTCTCGTTCTCCCGTTTTCTGGCTCCTTTTACTTGGCTTGTCTCCTGACCATTCTTAGTGTGCTTAGCCCGACTACTCTAAGGACCAGTATAGCACCCTTCCTCTCTGTGACCTGTTAGCGTGTTAGGTTCCGGAATCGTGACACAGAGAATTCCACATCCTGATTGTTCTTACTGTAAAAAAACCTTTCCTTTGCCTTAGACGAAATCTTCTTTCTTTCCAGTCTAAACGCATGGCCTTGTGTCATATGTAAAGTCCGGTTTGTGAATAGATTTCCACACAATGGTTTGTGTTGGCCCCGAATATATTTGTATAATGTTATCATATCCCCTCTAAACTAAATAGGTTTAAATTTGTTAACCTTTCTTCATAGCTGATATGTTCCATTCCTTTTATTAATTTTGTAGCCCGCCTCTGCACTTTTTCTAGTGCCATAATATCCTTCTTTAGAACAGGTGCCCAAAATTGCACAGCATATTCAATATGGGGTCTTACCAGTGATTTATAAAGAGGCAAAATTATATTCTTGTCCCGAGAATGAATGCCCTTTTTCATGCATGACAATACCTTACTGGCCTTGGCCACTGCTGATTGACATTGCAGATTGTTGCATAGTTTGTTGTCTATAACAATTCCCAAGTCCTTTTCATGTGTTGTTATCCCTAATTCGCTTCCATTAAGGGTATACGTTGCTTGTGTATTCTTTATGCCGAAGGGCATAACTTTGCATTTTTCAACATTAAATTTCATTTGCCATTTGAGTGCCCAGTCCCCCAGTCTATCTAAATTCCTCTGCAGCAAAGTAATATCTTGCTCACATTGTATTATTTTACAAAGTTTTGAGTCATCTGCAAACATTGAAACATGACTTTAAATGCTGTCTTCAAGATCATTTATAAACATGTTAAATAGAAGGGGTCCCAGAACAGACCCCTGAGGGACACCACTTGCCACCTCTGTCCAGCTTGAAAATTTACCATTAATGACAACTCTTTGTACTCTGTTTTTAAGCTAATGTTCTACCCAAGAACAAGCATTTTCATCTAGACCGATTTCCTTGAGTTTGAACACTAATCTATTGTGTGGAACTGTATCAAATGCCTTGGCAAAATCCAAATAGATCACATCCACGGCAACACCCT